CGCCATGGAGGTATACAATGCATGGTTTGTTTAACGTTAAATGGCGGTGGTCGTCGCGCCGCGTTCTGTTCGATATGGGAAACATAGCGATGTACACAACGCGTGTTTGTTTACATGAAATTCGACGTGGCGACCACCGTTTTTCAAGTAAATGTACTTTTCTTTCGTGTCTTGATAGTGTTCATTGAGTTATGTACAAACATGCATAGTGCCATGGTAACAGTGAACTTCATGACGCTGTGGGTTACAGTGACGTATTTTTAGAAAATTAGACAAATATTATTCACAAAATGTTATGTTTAAACAGTTCCATAGAACAAAGTGATAAATCATCGTTTTATATACCCAGATTATAGATGTAATTCACAATATAATAAAAATACCCCACCAGTCACGATATTATTTTTACAACCTGTGTCACCAACTAATTTGAGATAAGGCATAATATTTATACCATGGCAAAAGCGTTCCAATACAGACAAAATGGCCGCTATTCAGTCAAGTATAACTTTTATTTTCCAGACAAATCGGCTGGTTACACAAACTACTAGTATTTTATCATGAATGAATAAATTATATTTGTTTTCTCTAGTGTACGTAATACTATGTTTCTACATATAGCAACTCACACTCTGTCTCTTATCAAGCTATATGGAGGTTTGTGAGTACTCGGGCTCGGGCACCTATTTAGATAGTCCTTGCTTCACACTGTCGGGGCAAACTGAAATAGAAATTACAGGCACATTTTACGAATATATAAACATAAAACACGAGATTTGACCTAGCAACTAGACAACTAGACATATTAATGTATGTTTTTTTTTTTTTTTTTTTTTTTTTACAAACGCTCTACATATGCCCAAACAACAAAAACGTCACCATAATAATACAAATCATTTATTAATTAATAACTCAAATTTTACAATTGGCCCTCAAAATCACATATTAATACTGTACACGTTACATAGCATGGAATTCACTACGCATCTAAAGACCATGAAAAATATCATACACACATATTAAAAAAAATTCAAACAATTCTTTAACATATCTTGATTTAAAATTTGACTATTTAACACTTTCTCCCAAATGATTCCAGATTTGGGCACCAGCAATTGTGTAACTGTTTTTATATATTTTTTGTGCTCTGGGTGCTAGCTTTAAAGCAGGGGAGTCGTCACCCGCGCATGCTACGTTTATAGATTATTATTCTATCAAAATATTTTGACAATTTGTGTTTCTTATTTATTTTTCTTGCATTTATTTTTAAGATTTTACCTTTATATTTTCATAACAAGCCAGTTTGTGTCAATAAATATTATTATGCAAATCAAATGAACCAACACGTTGAGCATTATTTAAGTTCGAAACTCTTTTACTAAGTGAATAATTTAAGCGAAGATAACGTATATTGTAAAAAAACATGCATATGCTACTTGGTAATTTTAAATCGTTTTTTTTTTATTAATTTTCATTTATGAGGTAGAGATTCCACATTTTAACAGAACGTTACTTATGGGCCTACCATTTATATAAATTATGTATGGCTTGTCCGAGCATATTTCCATACTTTGAAAATATTATTTGATTGCTTCCGCATGTGACTTTGCCCCGAATTCCAAAGTTTGCAGCTCACCTATAAATTGCAAAGTGTGGGCAATTTACATTCTATAAAAAACAACAACAATCAATCTCAATATGAATCCAAGTGTGTGGTTTAAAATCTTTATATGAATACAAGGGTGTGGATTCCAATCTCAATATGAATCCAAGTGTGTGGTTTAAAATCTTCATATGAATACAAGGGTGTGGATTCCAATCTCAATATGAATCCAAGTGTGTGGTTTAAAATCTTCATATGAATACAAGGGTGTGGATTCCAATCTCAATATGAATCCAAGTGTGTGGTTTAAAATCTTCATATTAATACAAGGGTGTGGATTCCAATCTCAATATGAATCCAAGTGTGTGATTTAAAATCTTCATATGAATAAAGGGTGTGGATTCCAATCTCAATATGAATCCAAGTGTGTGGTTTAAAATCTTCATATTAATACAAGGGTGTGGATTCCAATCTCAATATGAATCCAAGTGTGTGATTTAAAATCTTCATATGAATAAAGGGTGTGGATTCCAATCTCAATATGAATCCAAGTGTGTGGTTTAAAATCTTCATATGAATACAAGGGTGTGGATTCCAATCTCAATATGAATCCTAGTGTGTAGTTTATATTCTCAATATGAATCCAAGTGTGTGGTTTAAAATTTCCATATAAATCCAAGTGTGTGGTTTATAGTCTCTGTATGAATACATGTGTGTGGTTTAAATCTCCATCCGAATATAAGTGCATTGTTTCCATTCCCCATGTGAATACAACTGTAGTTTACAATCACAACGTGAATACAGGTGTGTGGTTTACATTTACATGTGAAAGACATGTATGGCTTTCTCTAGATTGGCGAATAGCTTGTATAATAGGCCTGGGATAATAGGTTATACGATTTCAGCAGGGATATATTAGTACACTGAAGAAGTGTCAAATGATTGGTCGAAAACCATCGGAAGTACTGTTCTAAATTACTTTAATAAATTACACCCAACACTTTATTGGTGGTTACATATTAAATCATTGCAGAGTATATCAGATCACGAGACGCACTGGGCTTTATTGACTTTATTAACTCGGTGTTTACTCCGTCGTTGGTGCCAGTACTTGAAATATCTTTAGCGCCCTCCGCGGTCAGTAATTTGTATTCACAATTATTTTTGTACAGAATGGATATTTCATACACTCGACACAACAAGTGCATTCTCATATATATATATATATATATTAATGACAGTTGAATCCAACCAGCCAATCAATAAGCACAGTGGGCGTTGACGTCATTAGTATCAATAGTAATAATTGTAACACTAATAACAGTTCCAGTTTGAATTGTGAAATTTATAAATATTTATAAAGATGGAAGGAATGGGTTTGTCGCACCGAGAGTAATGTATGCTGAATTTAAATATCATTTCAGTGAAGAAAGTAAATAAACGGGAGAGTATTGCGTATTTCATTAACTTTTCCACTATAAATCACATGTACTCGGCTAAGCAATCAAAAAACGTGGATAATGTTAATTTATAACATAAAGTAATATTGGTGCCAATGTGTTATATTTAAAGATTATAACAAATCCCACACTATATAGTGGGCATATACTGAGTGTAATGTTATTATTAATAATGTTTCTATCCATCTACGTCATAATTCCTGATCTAAGTGTTCGTTATATGCCACACATACCTAAACTATCCGAGATTTCACCCAAAGAATTGGTTGTGAACTTGAAGTAACATCAAGTGCTGTGCGTACATATAGCTGAACCCTGACCCCTGACAGCGTACAAACTTTAGAAAGCACATACCCATGGCGCTACACTCGAGTCTCTACTCTCGCAACAAGCGAACAGACAGACAGACAAAAAACAAACAAATAAACAACAGATAGACGAGCAAAAAAACAACAAAATAAATAAACAAACAAATAAATAGCAGTAAATAAATAAATAAATAAATAAATAAATAAATAAATAAATAAATAAATAAATAAATAAATAAATAAATAAATAAATAAATAAATAAATAAATATTTGGGTTGGTGGCTATCATCAAATAAAAATATGAATCGATGCGAACGAGTATTGATTGTATTTATTTCTTCCAGTATATTCCGTTATAAGGCACATAAAACATGATTTTATTTTCGTCTTATTACCAACCTTATCTAAAAGTAAACAACAACAACTTGGTTGCCATGGATGTTTATATTAATAGCATATAGTTATCTCTGTCATTATATTTAAAAACAATATTCACATTTATTTAGCCCCACATCGGACGTGCAAACAGAAATCAGGGGTCCAATGTTGCTACCAACCCTCAATATGGCTGCCTATCCAACGCTAGGCAATAAATCATTTCTGGAGAGGCGCTGTGACGTTTCAAAGGGCATCATGTAAATTATTTTAATACATCTCTACCTACATGCATATTTTATATGCCTTTGACAATTCTGGATTATGTTGACCGTGCGCAACACGCGTATTTTTATGATTAAACGATAACATAACACAGAGGATATTTTGTACGTTTTACCTCTACATTTGGTCCTTCAAATCGTGGTTGTCCGAATTTATTTGTGACATAGTTGTATGAAATGCGGAAACGATTTACGCTTGTTTATGCGTAGAGGCGACTGTCATGTTTACCGTTTTCCGCGATGAAAAACTCGCTGAAATAGGGCCCTTGGCTTCGTTTATTCGATCGCGACCATGGCTTGGCCTTTTTGCTCAATGCAGTTTGTCACTCGCCAGGACGAAGAAAGGGCAGTGCATTGAATAGAAAATAAAAAAAAAAACACAAAAGACATTTAAAACACAAACCCAGGGCTGTAACACTGTGAACATGTCGACGTTTGCTTAACGACTGTTACTCGTGAATAAACTGCTTTAATTTGAATAAAATGCAGAATTGACCTTCCTATAACATATTGTCAGTGGCTCGAAAAGCCTCGGTGTCCTAAAAACGGAACCAAAAAACAGAAGTGTTATTTTTGAACCGTCAGTGGTCAGTTTATAAGTGACGATTTCTTTCACTGGCATTGTTTTATCAAACGCGTGACGTCACACACTGAAGGAACCACATGCGCTCAACCTTAAAACCTGTCTGAAAAACCTAATTCTCTCGGATTCCTTGGACTCCAGCTTTCTGCAGGTTTTTACTCTATTTTTCGTACTTTTCTGTGGTCTGAGTGAGGAATTGGGTAGCTGAGAGTGTCTGGAGCACGGTAAGTGTGCGTTTTGCGGTGTTGTGATCAGAAAATGTATGCCAATTTCGGTTCAAATATCGAGTTTTTTGTTGTGTGTGTCGAGTTACTTTGTTCGAAATGCCCCCAAATTGTCTTTATCGAAGCGGGCCGGGTTATGGCTCGTTTTAAAGCCCAGATATCGCAGTTTTTGACAGAGAATGGTACACTAGAGTATAACGAGTTATTGACGATGACTGTGGGCTTGATTTTGGGTTGTTTTGGTTCATTTTTGGCTCCTTTCCACCGCCAGCTCGCTCGCGTTGTGTGATGATTATTTGTGTTTTCATCTGCCAAATACTTGTAATATGTCGTCCCTATGCCCTGTCGCGCTAATCTCTCGCATTTTCCACACACTTTAACCGATTTCGCTGCCGATCGGATACTTGCTCGCTTTCGAAAACATTTATGCCTCGTATTTTGAAATATTTTCGGCAATTGTGTCCCAATTTTGCGTTTCTCGCCGGCGAAATTGGTTCGTTCCTACGATTCACGCATAAATTGTGCCTTAATTTATCCGGAGCCCTTTATATAAAAAACAAGAGCAAATATAATGGTGGACTTACAAGCCGTTTATTTTTCACTCTTTGCCCCATAGATCGTCTATGTTTACCCGAAAAAAAGCCAAATAGAGGAGGCTTAGGTCACCTGACACCTTCCTGCTCCAAAATGGCACTGTTTTGGTTCAGATTTTGTTCATAATTTGCGTTTCCCCGCCGCGACCTCTAAACGTTCCTGTTGAAAATCTCCGATTTCTTTTATTGAAAAACAACAACCATGAAAGCCATTATCCCCCGTATCTTCTACCAGTAACACGGCCATTTTCTCGCCATGAACGTGTTGTTCTTGTCTTGGTACTATTCCCCGAATCTCCCAAGAGCGCGAGCTGTCTAAACTGTCATTTTCCATTCATTCTAGTGCGTTTTTGGTCGAATTTTCACCGTGTTTTCCCCCATCTCGACGCGGTGTTTGTTGCTAATTTATTACCGCTCGCTTGTTAAAATATGAAAGGTCGTTTTAGTCGACTGTTGTGTGAATTAGAGGTCAGTTTCTCTTGCATTCTTTTTCGCTTACAACTCAATTTTATTTTCATTAAAGTTTTGTTAGCATCTTGCCTCACTTTCTTTCCAACTCCTCGTCGAGGACCCATATTTTGAGTAATATTTTATGATTATTCTTCTCTATTTTTCCACTTAGATTTAATTATTTTTCGTGTTTGTCATCTTGTTCAAAATACCCTCCATCTTGTTGATCGATTTCAGTGGTTTTCTGCAGATACTTCGAGTTTTTGTGACTTGAAACAGTGTCAAAATGAACTCAAAACTGGAAGACTGGTCGTAGGTACCAGTATGACCCCCTGAGTTTGTTGACAAGGGGCTAAAGCTTGTTTCATGAAACAAACTTGTCTTTTCTGCTGGTTCTTCCACAATTGTTATTTTTTATAATGAATTTTTAATTTCATATTTGTCTAATTGAAAAAAAAATCCACTTAGAATAACTTTCTTATTAAAACAATTGCAAATAATAATGGTGCATGGAGAAAAAATTGTTGGTTACTTTCCTGTTTTTTTTTTTTCATTTCCTGAAAAATGCCTATTATTTAAAAAAATTTGTCTTCCTAATTTCCAAAAATTGTGTAACTTAAGTTTTCCAAGACGATTAAGAATTTTTTAAATTGTCATGTATATTGTTTTTAACTTGAAAGATGTAAAAGTAAATTTTTATAATTTATTTATATCCATTTATTTCTCCTGCTTCAATGAAACTGGTAAATCTGTTGTATTTTTTGTGTTTAATTTGAAAGACAATAACCTGTCAACTGGTAAATAGAATCTGTATAGCCAACAAAAGTAATTAAAATTAAATTTAACACCTCACCATTTTGTTGATCAATGCCAGTGAGCTTGTTGCAGCTGAATTTTTTGTTCTATTGCCTGCTGCACAAACATCTGCCCTGTCATACCTTTTTAAAATTTTATTTACATTCGTTTAATTTTTAACTTCAAATCACAATCACTTATGCAAACAAAAAAAATCTTTTAGGAAACTTTTGTTCTTAGTCTTAGACAAGCCTGCGCAGTTGACCTTTTTTATTTAAATTAAAGTAATTTTTTTTATTCAGGCTTTCAAAGTTGACCTCTCACAACGCTAGCATCAGATGGTAGTGTGTTTACAGCCCAGCCCGCCTTTCTTTTCATTCAGTCAATTGTACTTGTCCAGTTTTCTAAAATCTCTTGGTAATTGAATCCATTTTACTGACCGTTGGTGTTTTCAATCAGAACCATCTGGGCTTGTCTTTGTTTTCATTTAAACAAAATATAAGCAGTGTATAACTGCATGCAGTTCCGTATTCTTTACAATTTATTCCCCTCTCTGTACTGTCTTAAAAATCTTGATTTTTCAATCTTGACTGACAACTCCAAGATCTTTCTGTTTGTTAAGTCAGTAACAAATAGTTTGGACATTTTATCATAAAAAAATCTACCACTGTGCCATCTTACATGGAGTAAAAACCTTGGTACATGTACTTTTAAAACCAGGATGTCGAAACAACTCTGAATAATTCTTACTTGAGTGTCATAATGGCTTGTGATGTTCAGTCAGATCTGTACAAACGCAATTCAGAATGCAATGTTACCAAATCTGTCAAAAGTGCAAAGATTGGGGTGGGGGGAGGGCTGTCCAAGGGGATATACAATTCCTCCTCAATTGAGAGATGAGATCAATTTTATCCTACTAAGCAATTGTTTCGAAAAAAACAATGTGTGAAAATTTTAGGAGCATTATTTTAATACTGAAAATACATCCAGAAATTAAAATCCGAAAGTACATGTATGACATTTTAGAATCATGGTCCAGAAATTAAAATTACAGACACTTTGGAGTAAGACGAGCTGGTCTTTGAGATCCAAACAAGTACCTGTGCTTATTTGCAAGAATGTCGTGTAATTGATTGGCTGTTCTTCTAAACATTTTATCAGAAAGGGTCTTTTATTCAAACTGCTAAAAACGTTGGAGATTTGCAAGGAATGTTTGTCATCTTCAAAATTTGTTCACACAAAAAAAAAAGTTTAGATTTGGTGAGAAACACACAAGCTGGTCATTATTGTTGAAATCTACATCACAAATCATTTCAAGATGATAGAATAAAATGTTAATGATCAAATTAGATGTATATAGATTATCTGAAGTAACATACACCAAAGCTATAGTAAACCAATGTATTTTCATCATTTTATGGGTTTTGTAAAAAAAAAAAAAAAGTATCCGATGCTCTGAGTTGTATGACCCCAAAAAAATGTTCACTACTTGAGAATTTCGCGATTTTCACTGAGTGACTGGTGGAAGTTTTTCTCTAGTGAAGTTAAGTGATTTATTATATTTGATTGAAAGTACACGTGCTAGTACTACATGTATCATATTTGTTCCTTTAGTAGCGCTGGTTTACGTAGATCATGTAGATGTTTCTATAGTCAAAAATAAGGGATAATTTAATATTTGGTTTATCTGTTCTGTTGTGTGTGTCAAACAAAATATCCTATCTTATCTAATTTTTAGCATGTTGGGAGGGCAGCTTTTGGCCACGAACTATCACAGATGTACTATGGTTCAGTGACCTGTGGTCGACCACATTTTATCCTAATTTGAGCTACATGTAAGTTAATGGGTCCACCTGTGCTGACCTGGGTAAATGAATCCTGTTTTTTGATCATCTTGGGTTGACGATGGTCCAGTGTATACATGTACATGTATTGACTGTACTGCAGTTAAACCATGGTAATTGTTGAGATATTCAATAAATGGCAAAAAACTATTTTTATTTATATTTTATATATATGTCACCAGGTTGACCATGGTCCTAGTGAGTTATATGTATTTGCTCTATTAGAAGCACTCAAGCACTTCTTCAATTCATATATATGACCTTAATTTTGACCATAAAGATATACCTGTTATCATGCACTACTATTAGAGAAAATACAGTGCCATATTTGGGCTATTAAAATACATTTTCTATAGAGGTGTTGATAAACAAAAATATTGAATTTCCTTTATACTTTATCATTATATTATGACCTATTTTGATCATAGACACACCTACTTCCACTTACATAAGCACATATGCTGCTAACAGATCAAAAACGATAACCATATTGTATTTGTGAAAAATGTATTCGACACTCTATTGGTTCCAAGTTATCTAGTACATTTCCCTTGTCTCACTTTAATTTCTAATGTTCATGAATTTAACAGAATTTTGTAGCAGCAAAAGTTTCACTGTTGTCATAAAGACTTGTAGTCAAGCCCAAAGTATATTTTTTAATACATGCGCGTTAGGCTGGACAATGGTCAGCAGCCATGGTTGACTGTGGTCACCACTGTCAACCATTGACATTGTCTGTGGTATCTAATCTCTAACTGCTGAAGTCCATAGTAAGTTGTCTGTGAATGATACTTGAATTCTGTCTGCTTTTCTCAGGATTTTATTATCTGAAATATTACCATATTATAAGAAGCTGATCTACAATGCATATAAACAAAATATTACTCTATTACGATCACATGGAAAAATCTGTAAATTTGGTGTGTTCTGTATTAATAAAGTATGACAGAGGTGTATCTATTGTCAAACTAAGTCATATTTATCATCCAGTATGAATAAATAAATTAATTTGTATGTGTGCTTATAATAGTACAAATACAAACATGATTGCTGCGAGCCTCCTACATTCCATGTAGAGAACCAATTAAAATAGATTTTGTTGATGATGAAGTAGCGGAAAAAAATTGATTCTGCTGCCTGGAATAACATTGCCAGTTGTACTTTCCCATTGACCCTTATAGTAATGAACTCCTACTTGGATTTCTAGTAAGGAAGGTTAAGCCAGAGAGTTCATTTTTGCTATGT